AAGATTAGATGTTTGTCATTGGTGCTCAGGATCTGCAAATCATTCGCCATCGTCCTATCAGACATTTCTCCTTACTCTGTGTATGTGGTAAGTGAACTTTCATGTACTGTAATGCAACAGGCTTCCGCTAGCAAGCGGCTAAACTTTTAGTGGCTCCGTATAACGCGTTATTTGTTTCATGCTTCGGACACACCCCTAACCCCGCCCCCCGATGTCATAGTCCATCACGATGTTTCACTGTAGACATCGTCAGATGCCAATTTGGTAGACATCGCCCAACCCTAGTAGCCCTGGAGTAGGTGGAGAAGGTCCTTGCCTGGAACACGCAAGCAAAAGTACCTTAAAGTGAAGGTTTGCTCGCCGGAGCTTAACCTTGTTGCAAATGTCTGTGTCTTTTGCCTCTCTGGGCTAGAGACTCAGAACTTGGTCAATCCACTTTGTCTCTCTAGGATGGAGACTCAGGATGTGCTGCATCTGTTGTTGTCTCGCTAGGCGAAGGCTCTAAACGTAGAATATCTCTCTACTCACAGGCTGGAGGCTCAGAACTCAGTCGTATCTGTTGCTGCCTGACAAGTAGTGGGCCGCAGGCTCCGAACCGGTATCTGTTACAGTCTCTCTGGACGAAAGACTCAGAACGGGTTGTTTCTGTTGCTGTCCCTTCCCTTGCAGGACTGAGACTCAGAATGGGTATCTGTTGCAGTCTCGCTGGACGAAAGACTCAGAACGGAGGTTGATCTGTTAGTGTCCTTTCCGTGACAGGACTCAGACTCAGAACTTGTTGATCTGTTAGTGTCCCTTCCTTCGCAGGACTCAGACTCAGAACGGAGGTATCGGTTGCCGTCCCCTGTAATGTCTGTGTCTTTTGCCTCTCTGGGCTAGAGACTCAGAACTTGGTCAATCCACTTTGTCTCTCTAGGATGGAGACTCAGGATGTGCTGCATCTGTTGTTGTCTCGCTAGGCGAAGGCTCTAAACGTAGAATATCTCTCTACTCACAGGCTGGAGGCTCAGAACTCAGTCGTATCTGTTGCTGCCTGACAAGTAGTGGGCCGCAGGCTCCGAACCGGTATCTGTTACAGTCTCTCTGGACGAAAGACTCAGAACGGGTTGTTTCTGTTGCTGTCCCTTCCCTTGCAGGACTGAGACTCAGAATGGGTATCTGTTGCAGTCTCGCTGGACGAAAGACTCAGAACGGAGGTTGATCTGTTAGTGTCCTTTCCGTGACAGGACTCAGACTCAGAACTTGTTGATCTGTTAGTGTCCCTTCCTTCGCAGGACTCAGACTCAGAACGGAGGTATCGGTTGCCGTCCCCTGTAGTGGGCCGCAGGCTCCGAACTGTTGTGTCTGTTGCTGCCTTCCCTGAAACAGGCCGGAGACTCAGAACAAGGAGTGTCTTTTGGGAAGAGTACCTTTATCCCTTTCCGATGAGGAGGAGATTGCAATCTGGCGCTTCTCCATTTCCGTGCTGTGATTGGCTGTTTCCATCGGAGCGGGGGGACACGGTGTGGCCCACCCTTCTTTCCTCCTGTTGAACTTATTTGCATAGTCCAAACACACATTTAGAAAAGTGTCACTAAAGCTTTACCAATGCATTATTTACTTACCAAACCACAACCAGAATATCTTTGGCAATGATACAAACACATTAAGTCCAAACATGATGGAAGAAGATCGAACTGTCACGCATGCATTCATTTGTCCATTAACAGCTGAGTTTGTATAAGATGTTGCACTACACGTCGCTGTCACTGAAAATACTTATTTCTCTGAATAAGTATAAGATGTGTTGTAGTTTGCATCAGTTTAAGGTTTGAGAACATAGTTATGAATGTATTTGGATGGACCTGTGATCTCTCTTTGTTTCACCCACTGCTGCTGCGTACAGAGGTCCTAAGGAATTTTTATGGCAGTCACAGGCCAAAACCTTAGGAATCAGTCTGTTGGTGGGTGAAGGGCAGAAACTGCATTTTGACCAATGAGAAGTCCTGTCCTTCCCAGGCTTTGTACCAAAGGTCTTCTTCTTGCCCTCGAAGAGGTGTCTGGCTGTTGTCCTGGCATCTTTATCTGATGGTGTTGGACAGTTTGCTTATGTTAGTCCACCAAGATCCAATCAAAATGTAGCAAACCTTTATCCACTATTGTGGTCAGAGAGGGGCACCACCATAAACTGGGCCCTGGAATGTGCTGTCCACTACAATTAGAAAAGAAAATGCATGCAAAATATAAACATGTATTCATTCTTATTTCCTCCAAAGTGTTTTTAGTGGAGATTGAAGTATTGTTCATTGAGCTCGCCATACTTTTAGCTACTTTATTTTCAGCAATTTGGCAGCCAAGTTTCAGGTTTTCTGTTTGAAGGTTGGGTTGTTCAGGTTATAGTAATCCATAGTGTTTTTTGTTTTGTTTTGATATGTTTTGTTATTTTCAGCAGCAAAGTTTTAGATTTTCAGATGAGGTTTGGCTTCTTAAAACAATCTATGCTAAAACACTTCTGTACTTTGGAAATGCATCAACACAGGAAAGAAACCTGCATTTGTTAAACCATTTCATGTGGACTTACATCTCCAGTCTAGGATGTCCTCTTATCTAACTGGTTTAGTTCAAGACCTCAAAGACTAAATCAAATGAACCTACTGCAGTATTTAGCAGTCACTCGATCAGCTGAAACAGATGTGTTCAACATGGGAATGAGAACATTCTGGCAGCAGAGCCCCAACTAGCGGAAAGCACTGGTGTAAAGCAGGTCACCAGCAGAAAGGAAGTTATTCTTGTGTCACATCAGCTTTTGTGTAACAGCAGTATGGAGGGCAATAGAAGAAAAACAGGCCACTTTGAATAAAACCGCCCTCAATGCATGGAAGTAATGATGAAAAGGCTTTTTCTTCGCAAAGCAACAAAAACCACTCTCTGAATTATACACTTTCATCCAAACCAATGCAATTATTTTTCTGTGTACAACATTTTTGGAGCAGGAATTCAAGATGTTAGGGGATGTTGGCTTAGAAGTTTTCATAGTTACTTGGCCATGTATCTTGCTTGCTATTTCAAGTATCGTACCAATACCAGCTCTAGTCAATATAATGCTGCAAAGCTTGAGTTATTCCGGTGTTTTTTTATTTTATTAATTTTGCTTATTTTATTTTAAAATAAGTAAAAAGAAATGCAAAAACATGATATACAACAACCTCAGTACCACAGGAATTTGCTTACTGTGTCCTCTGGTGTTGGTGTCTTTATGAATTAATGGAATTTATTTTGTTTTTGTTTCTTGATGGATTGTATCCAACATTGCCATTGACTTTCATAACAACAGTCCAACCTTTCCTCAGAGTGCCGCCGCGAGAAGGTCAAGGGCGGGTCTCCGTTTGGCTCCACGCGGCTGCGATCTAGCACAGTTCTCTACCATATTTCAGGACACCTGCATAACCGTCAAAAACAAAGTAAAATCAAACTTAACAAGGTGAGACCATTCAAATACTAAGGGAAGAGAAAAATACAGAAACTGAAAGACAAAACAGAACCAGTGACTTTACCAGAATTGTTCTCGCTCTTTCTAGAATGTTTTTGGTGATCCACCTGCTCTTCCTGAATATAAAGTCGCTGATGCCAAGAAGTCCAAGTTCATTCTTCTTCACTTCAGCACCTTCAAAGCGGGCTGGGATTGGCTGATCCTTCTGGCTACATTCTATGTCGCTGTGACGGTGCCGTATAACGTTTGTTTTATTGGTGATCAGGACTTGACACGTAGCACCACTGTCACTGACATTGCCGTCGAGATTCTTTTCATCATTGGTAAGAGAATCCAGTTTTGATCTTTGACATTATATTTAATCGGTCAATTACGTAGTATGTTTTTCACTGTGAGCCTGATTATGATTTATGACATTATCTTTGTTCTATCACATGTATGTCTTTACACATGATTATAATCAGGTCTTTAAATTGATTTCAGGCTCTTTGACATCTTCCATTAACCCTCTGTGGTACAGCGCTGCCACAGGGCAACATATCATTCTCCTTTAGTTTCCTGCTATTTAGAAAAAAATGTAATTGCATTGCAGGAATTAAAAGGGCAATTTTTACAGAAACAAATAATATTCTTTAAGACGTTTGACATTTGAGTTTCTCTCCATGACTGATCCTGAACTATTTCAAGAAACACACATGCTGTGCTCCTCAAATTGCACTATTATTTCTTTTTCCTGCATCTTTGTTAAGATTAGCTTAAATGGATCATAACCGTCAAAAACAAAGTAAAATCAAACTTAACAAGGTGAGACCATTCAAATACTAAGGGAAGAGAAAAATACAGAAACTGAAAGACAAAACAGAACCAGTGACTTTACCAGAATTGTTCTCGCTCTTTCTAGAATGTTTTTGGTGATCCACCTGCTCTTCCTGAATATAAAGTCGCTGATGCCAAGAAGTCCAAATTCATTCTTCTCCACTTCAGCACCTTCAAGGCAGGCTGGGATTGGCTGATCCTTCTGGCTACATTCTATGTCGCTGTGACGGTGCCGTATAACGTTTGTTTTATTGGTGATCAGGACTTGACACGTAGCACCACTGTCACTGACATTGCCGTCGAGATTCTTTTCATCATTGGTAAGAGAATCCAGTTTTGATCTTTGACATTATATTTAATCGGTCAATTACGTAGTATGTTTTTCACTGTGAGCCTGATTATGATTTATGACATTATCTTTGTTCTATCACATGTATGTCTTTACACATGATTATAATCAGGTCTTTAAATTGATTTCAGGCTCTTTGACATCTTCCATTAACCCTCTGTGGTACAGCGCTGCCACAGGGCAACATATCATTCTCCTTTAGTTTCCTGCTATTTAGAAAAAAATGTAATTGCATTGCAGGAATTAAAAGGGCAATTTTTACAGAAACAAATAATATTCTTTAAGACGTTTGACATTTGAGTTTCTCTCCATGACTGATCCTGAACTATTTCAAGAAACACACATGCTGTGCTCCTCAAATTGTGCTTCTATTTATATTGCCTGCATCTTTGATTTTTGAGCTTAAATAGATGTTTCTGTTGACAGATCGTTCACAATTTAAGAGTAAAGGATGTTGATCCCATGTGATTTAAATATGAATGAAACATATGTTACTGATTTCAGTTTAGTGTAATACAATAGCAGGATGACCTATAATGTATTTTAACACTGTTCCTGAACTTTGGTTTGGCTTTGTGACCCTGATAATGCCTCTATTTAGAACGCCCGGTGTTCAGATTTGGTGACAGCGCATGAATTTTTAATTTTCCTATTGTTAGTCTGCGATAACAGCCCGCTTGATATTTAGCTAGCAGAAAAGCATTTTTGCTGTTATAAATGCTTCAGTGGACACACTGTCATTCATTGAGATTATGCTGATGGAGTACTTTGTAAAGACGCTGACTCTACTCTGTTGCTTCACCAGATATCGTGTTCAGTTTCCGCACTACGTACGTGAGTAAGTCGGGGCAGGTGATCTTCGATGCGCGGCTGATCTGCATCCATTACATGACCACCTGGTTCATCATCGACCTGGTTGCCGCTCTGCCCTTTGATCTCCTTTACGCTTTCAAAGTCAGCGTGGTGAGTAAAATTAAAAAATATGTAATGAATGTATCAGGAAAAAAAATCTGTGTGAAGTTCTGGGAACATGTTTTCACAGCTTTCAAATGCATTTTGAATTTATTACATTTGCATGATTTTGCAGAAAAAGCAGATCCACACATAATCTGTGCCTGCAGAAAATATATATATATAATTATATATTACAGATATATTATATATATAATATATCTGTATATATATATAATTAATGTTTTTAAGATTACTTTTGTTGCCATCTAACACTTACTTAAAGGGGTCATATGATGCTGCTAAAAAGAACATTATTTTGTGTATTTGGTGTAATGAAATGTGTTTATGCGGTTTAAAGTTAAAAAAACACATTATTTTCCACATACTGTACATTATTGTTTCTCCTCTATGCCCCGCCTTTTTGAAACGCGTCGATTTTTACAAAGCTCATCGGTCTGAATCTAAATTAAAAATAGTAAAAATTAGCAAGAACAATTAAATATATAAAACATCAGCCAATATACAGTGGTGGCCAAAATTATTAGAACACTAGTATTTTCACCAGCTAAAAATGGTTTTAAGTCAGTTATTTCTATCTTTTGCTGTAGTGTGTCAATAGGAAATATTAGTTTACATTTCCAAACATTAATTTTGCTATTAATTGTAATAATCCAGTGAGATTTTTGTACTTGTGTAAAAATGCTGTAAAATGAGGATGCTGTCAAAAATAATGTCATGATGAATAGATTTTTTTTAATCAGTTAACTTTTATTAACTAAATTAAATCAACATTTGGTGTGACCAGCCATTGCGTTCAAAGCAGCTTTTTCTCTAGGTGCACTTGCGCATTGTTTTTCAGGTAGCATTGCAGGTAGGTCTCTTGAAGCATCTTGGAGACGTTGTCACAGTTCTTCTCAGTTTGTTCTGTTTCTTCATGTCATTCCATCCAGACAGACTGGATGATGAAGAGATCAGATCTCTGTGTGGAGCACTGGCTGTTGTCAGACTCCTTGTGCAAACAAAAATCTCACTGGATTATTACAATTAATTGCAAAATGAATGTTTGGAAATGTAGCAAAAGAAAGAAATAACTGACTTGAAACCATTTTTAGATGGTGAAAATACTAGTCTTCTAATAATTTTGGCCACCACTGTATACCCAGTGTCAGTTTTTTTTTTAATACATATTTTTGCAACATTTCCATAATGTTTTATTTGTTATATGGAATTATGATGTATTTGCAACCAAGTTTTTTTCAAAGGTACAATTTGCTGAATGATCAGTTTTGGTAATCTGATCTGTAAACTTCATGTCATGTTATGGTTGTTTTTTTTAATAGATTATTGTGGTTTTAAAACATTGGTACTGTAAAGTAGCCTAGCTTCTACCTAAATGCAATGCTGTGAAAGCATCTTGCTAGATGCACTTGCTAGAAAGAGTGAATCTGTAACACAAACAGTAGGTCATGGTTTTCTATAGGCTTAGATCTCTGCCACAATTCTGTGCGCGAAAGATCATATTTTGTGCGCACAAAGGTGCATTTTGCACGCGCGCGATCTGAGTTTTGTGGAGAAAATGTTCGTTTCACAAAGAAAAAAGTATTTTGAGCGCACGAAAATCAATTTTGCATTTAAAATAAGTTTTTGGATGTGTGCAGACCTTCTCTTTTGCGCGTGCAACGTTTGCTGACCCACTGAGCATTTTTTCTGTCCAATGGTTATGTATTAACTTTGCAATTTCTAGTATTGTATTAGTTTTTAATATTTCTCAATATCAACATAATAATTATGCATGCACTGTATTTCCCCTCTTCTGCTGTCGAGGTAATGCAAGGAATGTTGTGATTGGTTGTCAAGGCAGCCAATCAGAATTTAGCAGCCTTGTCTCTGATTGGCTGGAATTATGGCATATTGTAACGCTGGGTTGTGTTGAGCAAGCGAGCTGTTGGCATTTAGAGAGCACTGAGGGCAGGCATCAAGGGAGCAAGCTAGTGAAACATTGCACGCGCAAATGAGAAGGTCTGCACACATCCAAAAACTTATTTTAAATGCAAAATGGATTTTCGTGCGCTCAAAATACTTTTTCAAAACATTTTCTCCACAAAACTCAGTTCACGCGCGTGCAAAACGCACTTTTTCAGAATTGTGGCAGAGATGTAATCCCATAGTTTTCAGGAATGCATGAACTGATAAAATGTATGCCTTGAATTCAATGCAAGATGAAAGTGTCTGCCAAATATGTAAATGTATAATAGTAAATTACTTTCAGTGCATTTTACCATGTTGAAATCCATTTATTGTAGAAGAGCTTCCTCTGATTAACAGCAGAAAATGCAAAAAACCTGGGCCTGCTTGGACAGACATGCCTAGTCTCTGACTTTCTGACATTTCTTTTTTAGCCCCTCCAGCACTGTATTTAGCTCAGTGATTTGTTTTGCACTTCCTTCCTTAATTGTAAAACTAAATATTGAGCCGCAGCTGGGTGACACTGAGTGGATGGACCGTGAAGTCCTTTTGATGACATCATGGATGTAGAACTTTTAATGAGTGATCCTGGGTTCGGGTACAAATAAAGATGTATAACAGGCTCTAAAATTGGCTGACACTGCCTCTGACGACTCCTCTACAAAAGCAAGGGTCACGGGCTCCTGGTTTTAATTCACAGAAAAAGACAGTCAGCTTTTCTGGCCAATCCAGACTGGCGGAATCGATCAGTGCCACTTGGACACACACACACTTACAGTGATGACACATGCAGTAATGAAACCCTGCATCCCTCTGTACGGCAACACACAACGAAAGAGCGCTTGAAATCCACTGAGGCTTATTAAGAGAGGAAGAGTGAAATGCAGTGGACTCTACTTGAGTGTTTCTGTAATACAGACCTTGTTGTCTCTGAGATGTTCCCTTAAATCTGCTCCAATTACAGATTGCACCTCTGCTCCTCTGGTATCCCTTCACAACTGCCCTTCAGCTGCACTACACACACACACACACTCAGGTTTGTTTTTGTGAAAAGTGGGGACATCCCATAGGCGTAATGGTTTTTATACTGTACAGACCGTATATTCTATTGCCCTACACCAACCCTACCCCTAAACCTACCCCTCACAGGAAACTGTGCTATTTCAGATTTTCAATACACTCCATTCTGTGTGATTTATATGCGTTTTGAAAAGTGGGGACATGGGGTAATGTCCTGAAAAGTCACCTTCTCCTTGTAATACCTGTCATACCCTTGTCATTATACAAATTTATGTCCTCATTTGTCACAAAAACGCGCGCACACACACACACACACAGAAACATCAAAAGTGAAGAATGATGTTTCTTTTATTTTACTCTCCTCTGTTTTCCTCTCGATTTCCTTTTCGTGTTTGATTCCTGTTGCTTTCCCCAGTCCTTTCCTCTTTGATTTTTTTTCCTGGCCAATTTCCATTCCTTTTCATTTCCTCTTCCAATTTTCTTTTTCTTTCCTCTCATTTCCTCTTTCTATTTCCTTTACCTATCATACCCAATTTCCATTCTTTTACTCTTAACTTTTCTTTATACTCATTTCTTCTTCTTTATTTTTGCATATACTGGCCAATTTCCTTTCCTTTCCTTTCTTTTCCTTTTCTTTTCCTTGCTTATTTTTTTCCTGGCCAATTTCCATTCCTTTTCCTTCCTCGTTTTATTTTTTTCTTCCCTCTCCTTTCTTCTTTCGATTTCCTTTTTCTATCATGGCTAATTCCTTTCCTTTAATTTTCCTTTCCTCTTCTATCCTCTTTTTTCCATTTTCCTTTCCTTTCCCACATCCATTCCCTTACTTATCCTCTCCTGGCCATTTGCCATTGAGTTTCCTTTTCCTCTTATTTCCTTTTCCTAGCCAATTTCTATTCATTTACTTTTCTTTTCCTGTCATTTTATTCTCTTTCACTTTCCCTGTCCTCGTCCAATTCCATTTCATTTGTTTTCCTTTCTTTTTATTCTTTCCTCTCTTTATCCTTTCCTCCCCTTTCCTTTCTTTTTTATTCCTTTCAATTCCGTTCCTTTTACTCTCTGTCATTCCCCTTTCCCTCCTGTCACTTCCTTTCCCTCTTCAGCCACCTAAACATTGTGAGCAGTATGAGTGTATTAGTTGGTAATACACATTGACACATTAGCACATAAAGCTCAGTATATGAACCCCTGCCGTGGCCTTACCCTATCCACCTCCATTTTCACCCTCCTTATCTAATTTTTAACCAGCTGTTAAGTTCAGCCTTTTTGTTTCTCCAGTGACATTAATGTTCATTGGGTTTGCTTCTGAGACCATGATCTCCTGATGTTTATTAATATTTGATTGTCAAGTGAAAGATTGTGGCCATTACAGCGTGGATTATTATTTAATGCTGCAGGGACGTGAAGGCTTGGTTCTTATAGGGTTTGTCTGTCTGATTATAATAAGAGAGGCTGTGATGAATATTGCTGACTAGTTACTGCCTGAAGGTCTAGACAAACTGATCTAATAGCAGTGTGTGCGCATCTGTTACTGACCTGGTAGTGTGCATGTGTGAAAGTTCGTGTTCAGGTTAATACAAAGTGTTATTTTTATGTATGTAGTCATAATGAGTCTACAGTTATGGAATATATATGGGCTATTTAAAACTCTCTCACTTGCTCATTTACTTTAAACCTGCTTTAATACATAAAACATTACACATAAAAGGAATTTATTCCTTCACCCTGCTGAATATATAGAATAACATGTCTGCAGGGTCTACATTAACTTTCTGAATATATATTTTGGATTTACACTTTTTATGTTACTGTGAATTTACTGATAAATTAATAAGAAATACTGATGAACTGCATGCACTTACAGTACTGCATAAATTGAGTTCCTAGTACTTACATGTCACTATCATTGATGATGTATTGATTACTATTAGTAAGGTAATGTAATGTAAACATGGGCACGGAAAAATAAAATGTTTAATATATTTTGCTGATCATGAAATTCTATTTTACATTATCTTTAGAAAAATGTTTTGTCCATATAAAATTGGGATATTTTTTCTTGCTTTGTGACAAATTCGGTCGTATTTTAGAGCCATTAGCTTTGTCCAGCACTCACCAAAATGTGAAGATGTGATTTTGCTCCCCATATTTTCATTTTGGTGTCACTGCAATGAGTCCTAGGAGAAAACAAATCTCCTAAATAAACCTCTGATGGTAAATTTTGTATTGATGTAAACATTGTTAAAAATATGCACGTTTTGACACATGTAAACATTTTATATATATTTGAATTGCTTGCATCATTTACATTATCAGCAGTCAGACTATTGTTTTTAGAATTAAAATTAAACCATGGAATGTTTTGGCTGGTATCTCTGTTTTATTTATGTCTGTTTTAAACCCTGAATGATACATTTGACTGTTCTTTGCCAGTTTGACAGTGATGGAGAACACAGTCCTCCAGACCTCCAGAAAAGAGGAAGATAATGATTGTTATACTGAAAAACACACATACTTAGGCATTCTGCTTTGTTCTCTGTTGTTTGTATGTTTTTATTATTCATATCCATGAGCTGCAGTCAATTTCTTTGTGGTTTATTATCTTGTTTATTAGTGGGCGGTTTATTTCCTTTCACCTGAGAAAATGTGGTTCTGCATGACTGAGACGGAGAGAAGAAGAGAGAAAAGATGTTTTATACCACCATAATTGGCCCAAATGTTTCTCAGTCTAATGATGATCTCTTAAATATTTGAATCCCAGTTGTCTCAGAGCTAGTACCTGCATGCTACACCATTATTCAAGACATCCATGACCTCTAAACATCTGCTAAGAGATGTTTTTGTTTGTTTTATTGTACATTTTCCCTCTGTATTTATTTGCTAAAAGTACAATTATATGAATATGGTTTTGACTTGATGGTTATACTGTACAGTACCATTGCAGTAATTTAGCAAAGATTTATTGATGGAATCTAAGGACTTCCATCCTGTTGTGTTAATTAGGTTTGAACTGATTTGGATTTACTGCACTCATTTAACATGACAGGCACGTGCCCTTCACAAACCTCAAATGCACTTGCATACAGAGCAAATCCTCAACAGTTAATGTGTTTCCCCTTTCCCCTCTGCCAGGTGTCAGTGGTCCATCTGCTAAAGACCGTACGCCTGCTGAGGCTCCTGCGTCTGCTGCAGAAGATGGACCGCTACTCCCAGCACAGTACGGTGGTGCTGAAGGGTATCAGGCGCACCGGCCATTGCTCTCGTGGTCACCCACCGGCTTCCTCTGTTTTCTCAAACAGATCCAGGAAGGCTTCGGGGTCATCCTGAGCCCCCATCTTGTTCAGCAGCAGGTGGGGAGCCGGGGTCTGCTTCGTGGCGGCTTCTGCCCGAACCTCCCGTTCCATCCAGCTATGCAACCTCTCGCGGGAGCACACAAAATTGACTTATTGACTCACAGACAGAATGTGAGATAAAACCTAGGCTTGTAGAAAAACATGCTTCTACCTGCATTTTAGCAAAACCTCCTATACATACAATTCCCTGCAGTTTCCAGCTGAAATGAACACTAGTAGCAGTAAAACACCAACATAGGCTCCTTGCGCAGTACTGTTTTAACACTTTTACCATGGAACATGTTTTATAAACAAAAGCACATTTTATTTTTGCATGACACAACAGGTGCAATATGTACAGTATGTCTTTTCTGACATAGTAAACTTGCTCGGTAGCTCACCTGATACAGCACTGCACTTGCGCTCAGATATGTGTCCTGTGAAACACTAGTCACAATGTTAAATAAAAGCACAGAGACTTGCAGAAGCAAGCTACAATGGTGTTGAGGATTCAACCAATGTGCTTTTAACTTACTGTAACAAAGTCAATAACTTGAGAAGGAAGAGGACGGGGTCGGCTTGACTGCTGCTGGGGTTTTTATTCAGCTTCAAACAGCCCTCTGTCCGATGCGTCAGTCTGCAACAAGAAGGGGAGAGAAAAGTCAGGAGAATATAAGAGCGGCCCGCTGGAGGTGTGTGTGTGTGTGTGTGTGTTTGCTGAAAGGTTGAAGTTTAGGAGATATTTTTAGATATATTTGGAGGTAGAACAAATTCGGATTATCATTAGGATCCAAAAACTGGAGGCTGTATGTGTCTGCTGCTTATTTAGAAACCAAAAACAAGGCTGAATCCCTTTTAGTTTGTACAAGAGAAAAAAAATTTAGACATTTGTAGAAAATACATGTGTACAGTGGGTACGGAAAGTATTCAGACCGCCTTAAATTTTTCACTCTTTGTTATATTGCAGCCATTTGCTAAAATCATTTAAGTTAATTTTTTTTCCTCATTAATGTACACACAGCACCCCATATTGACAGAAAAACACAGAATTGTTGACATTTTTGCAGATTTATTAAAAAAGAAAAACTGAAACATCACATGGTCCTAAGTATTCAGACCCAT